TAATATTAATATGAAAAATATTAAAAGAAAACCAAACAGATACAAACCACGCTGATCAGCTGGGCCAGAGAGACCATCAGCTGCACCGTGACCAATTCGGAGCCGTTGGTGGCCGGGCGGATGAGTTTGTTATACCGGGACGGGTCTAGGAGATGCTCCACCAGCCGTTCCTCCGTGTCGGTCCCGAGACCCCCTGCAAACCAAGCGGGGGTCTGTTAGAAGCCAGTAAAAGCTGCCTTCTTCTTGCGGACCCCGAATTCAGATCTCCCAAACTGGAGCATGCGGGCAGGATTAGAACTCGGCTCTTCGTACGAAATCTCCCTCTCTCCTTTCTCTTTCCTTCTCTCTCTCTCTCTCTCCCTCTCCCTCTCTTTTTTTTTTGGCTTGGGCCTCCTATTCCTTCTCTGGAGCCATTACTAACCAGCTCTGAATGGGCTTGGCACAGCCCTCCGGCACTTAAACAGACTGTCTGCACCACCCGTCTCACTGTTGGGAGTAACGGTGGAAGGTAGACTGCCTCCAAGGCTGGAGGCTTCGTTGACCTTGTTAGTGAAGAAGAGTCTGTTAGAATCAGGCCAGAGCCGAAATTCCCTTCCCAAAATAGCTGCCTAAAATACTATGGGGAACCAGGTTCATTTATATTCTCCGGCAATCCGATTCTCATCTCTTTGGAATTCCCCAGTGGCCGTTGTGAGTAATCTCCCCGTCGTTCTCTGTTGTGCTTGCCAAAAGAGGTAGCGTCATTCGAATTTCAGGAAAAAATGCAGAGGAATCCACCTCTTGGGCCAGGACCCCCAACCCCCTTTTTTTATACAGCCCCCCCCCCGGAGCCTCTTTGCCTGAAGAAATTTGCCTGCGCAATAGCCACAAAATCAGCAATGGAGTTTTTGATCCTTCCAAAGCAGGAAAGCTAAAAATGCTGGAATCAAAAGCCCTCGAGTGGATTTCAGCTCGTCTGGAACCCACTGGAACCAAACCTGAGTCTCTCTGATCCAGTTTGAAAGGAGGAAACAGAGAAAGAGGGATGAGAAGGATGACAGAAAGAGAGCAAGGGGCTTGGGGGCTTCATTCTAGGAGGAAGGGTTTAAAAACTGGGCCTGTTTAGCTGAAAGAAGAGAGTGGAAGCAAACTGGAAATAGGATATTTCATTACTGGGAGAGCTGGAAAGCAGCTGAACCACAAATTGGTTCCTGGGACTGTGGGTTTTGAGTAAAGGTTAGACAGCCATTTGTCTGAAGGTTTTCCTTTGGGGCTGGACTAGAAGACCTCCAAGGTCCCTTAAGATTCCATCCAATCATTAAGGATTCTCTATGATTCTATAAAATATAAAAAAATCCTGCTCAAACCAGTTGAAGTGATGCAGTTCTCCTTTTCTCGAATCATGAATTCCTTGGCTTTGCCCCCAAAATTAAGGATGGTTGCTTTATTCTATTCTATTCCATCCTATTCTTATTCTTATTCTTATTCTTATTCTTATTCTATTCTTATTCTATTCTATTCTTATCCTATCCTATCCTATCCTATCCTATTCTTATTCTATTCTGTTATTATTCTATTCTATTCTATTCCCTATTTTCTGTTCTATTCTATTCTATTCTATTCTATTCTACTCCTATTCTTATTTTTTTAGGATATGGCCTTCCTGTCTCGAACCCCTGGGAGAAGGGGAAAGAGGGCCTAGCTGCTAGAGTCCTATCCCACCGTAAGTTAATAGAGTCACTGAGGGGTTTCAGAGCCCACTAACAATAGCCGTTCTCTTCCCATTGGAATATGCTACCCTTTTCTGCTCCCTCTGGGCAGGGGAAAACGAGAAGGCTCTCCTCCCATTTCGAACAAAGGCCTGGATTAACGTGAACGGAAGGGGTACCGAAAACCACACACTTACTTCTCAGGATCCCCAGGAGGCAGAGGCAGGCGAGGAGAGCCATGGAGGATGGCTTCATCTTGTTCTTTCCGGAAGGAGCATCCCTTCCCTCCCCCAGTCTTCCCTTTTCACCCCCTGGGGGTCTTCAGCAGGTTAGGCTCCAATGAGAGGAGGGTGGGTGGAGGGCAGGGAAATGGGGGGTCTCCAAGGTGGGTGGGGGCGTCGTCCTTCCAGTCTGCCTCCCCCTCCCCAGCCTCTTTAAAAAATGGGCTCTTTCCACCGCGCCGCTGTCCGCGGTGCTGAAATCCAAGCGCGTTTCTACTGCGCTCTCTGTGGTGCTGAAGCGTCTCGGGCAGCTGTGCCGTGCAGCGGTGGGCAGGACCAAAGACCCTCCTCCTCCTCCTCCTCCTCCACCCAATGCGCAGTAAAAAGGGAGGCCGAGCTGCTGTTCCCTGGAGCTTCCGGTGCTTCTGGCTCTCTACATTAGGCAGCTTCTCCAAGGCCTTGGCATCACCGCCTCTGTTTGATGCAGCAAGGAAGACGCCATCCCCTTGGCGCTGGAAGGGGAGGGGGCAGTTCCTTCTGCTGGCTTGGATCCTCCCAAGAGCTGGCGGTCCTCTCCTGCCACGGGGGGGGGGAAATGCATCAGGGATCGGGGGCACCCCTGGGCACAAAAATCCCTGTTTGCCTTAAAAGCGTTTTTTGGCCTCCAAATCAAGAGACAAAGATGCTGAGAAGGAAAGGCTGTGTGCAGACTAAACGGGACTGCCTTAAAACGGTTCGAACGAGGGGAAGTTGATAAAAGAGATTGTTCTTTCTTTTTTTAAAAGCAGATGTGGTAGAATTAGCCTTGGGGTTTAGGCCTTGGAGGGATTTTTTTGTTGGTTTGTTGATCTGTTTATTGAAGCCATCTCAAATAAGTGATGCTGGAGGATGAACGGTGGTTAAAATCAATTAAACACCGAACTGCAATCAGAAAACTACAGGAATCCCTTGACTTTCCACAATTCATTTAGTGGCTGTTCGAAATTACAACGGCACCCCCTTCAAAAAGTGACTTATGAAGGTTTTTCACACCGATGACCGTTGCAGCGTCCCCAGGGTCACGTGATCCAAATTCAGATCTTTGGCAACTGTCTCATATTTATGATGGTCACGGCATCCTCAGGGCCAAGTGATCCCCTTCTGCAACCTTCTAACAAGCAAAGATTCTCCTGCTTGTGCAGGGGGCTGGACTAGACGACCTCCAAGGTCCCTTCCAGCTCTATTCTATTCTAAAATCAATGGGGAAGCCCGATTCAGTTTACAACCTAACAAGTGCAGTGATTTCCTTAACCACTGTGGCAAGAAAAGTTGTAAAATGGGGCAAAACGCACTTAGCAACATAAATTTTGGGCTCGACTGTAGTCCTAAGTCAGGGACTACCTAGATGCCTATAGGAGCCGAGGGGAAATAACCATAAATATTAATATAGGCAGGAAATGAGCCCTTTGCGCCTTCACGACCTTAGGCCCAGGAGCATCACGAGTTCCTCTGGCTGCCAGAAAAGTAGGCTGTGCGCATCCAATTGAGATTTTATAGGCTTTTAGCACTTTTTCTTCTTTGACAGACTTGAATCTGAAAAGCTGGCTCCGAAAGGGCATTTCCCAAGACAGTTGCTAAGAGCGTTTAAGAGTAAAGCTTACACATTCAAAAACCCCAAAGGGCTGGCTGCTTTGGAGTTTTTTTTTAACAAAGCGCCCCGAGGTGGTGGTGGGGAGCCCTGAAGCATTAGCCCCCCCCAAAGGTGTCACCAATAGCTGTTGCAACACATCGGGTCGAACGGATCTCTGCAATCCCAGAGGTTGAAATTTTCTCCTTTTTGATGCGAAGAGAGGACTTGGAGGGGGTGTGGACGATGGATCTGATGTATTTGTGGTTTCTTGACTCAGCTGGGCAATTTCTCACACAGGGTGAGAGAAGCCCTTTGCAGAACGGGAGATGGGAGATGGCAAGCTGCTGACTCCTTTGCAATCTGGTGTGGTTTCGTAGCACACCAGATTTGGGTTGGGGAGACCCAGAGTCTGTTCGACACCTGGGTGGGGGGATGACTCTGAGCCAGCCTCTCTTGACTTACAGCCACAAATCGGGCCCATAATTTTTTTTGCTAAGTGAGACGTGACTTAGCTGCTTGGAAAGTCACAAAAGGGGATCGTGTGACCCCAGGACTCTGCCACCGTCGTAAGTCTGAATCAGTTGCCGAGCGTCCGAATTTCAGTCGCGCAACAAGTGACACTGGGCAGCGCACCACCAAGCTGAAATATATTGAGATGTCATGCTGTTATTTTACGTGAAGATGCCGGTTTTGGATGCTTTAATTTTAAAGATGGGGTTGCTGGTTGCAGCCTACAATCAGTCAAACATCCACTGCAAATTCCTTGGGGTTCTCCACCTATCAGCCCAGTGGGGTGGAATACAATTGTAGAATTATTATAGAATTGTAGAATTGTAGAATTATAGAATAGATTATAAAATAGAATATAGAATATAGAATTATTATTATTATTATTAATTTATTATTTATTATTTATTATTTATTTATTTACTTATTTATTTTCACAATTTTTCTAGATTGAGGAGCATGAAGATGGAACAACGGAAACTGAGCGATCAAGCCAACAGAGATCCAGCTGCTGCTTTTTCAAGCTTTTCTTCCGCCCTCCAGCAGGGGCCGCTATAAAACAGCGATGCCCTTTTTTCCTCGCTGAGAGCCATTATCTGTGGTTGCCGGACGCCGGGCCGCTCTTGCCGCTAATGTTGCTTATCTCTAGTGGCGTCTCTATGTTCAAAGATGGCGTCCGCCCCTTCCGCCCGGGGACCAGAAGCGCCCGTTTCTATGCCGACGGCGTCGCGTTAGAGGCCTACCCGGCCTGCCCCTCCCTCTCCCTCTCTCTTTCTCTTTTTCTATCTCCCCCGCCGGGGCTCCGCCTCTTCCTCCCTTCCTCAGTCGGGGCTGCGCGCGCCGCCAGGGCTGGGCAGTGCGTGCGGTGCGTGCGGTGCGGCGTCACTTCCGACTGCGGGCCCTTCCCGGCCGCCATCTTGCGGTGTGGGGGGACGCGGGGGGCCCCGGCGCGGCGGCGGGCCGCTCGATGGGACGATGCAGCGCGCGGGGCCGGGCGGGGCGGGGCCTGGCGCGGCGGCGGGGGCGGGGCCGGGGCGCGCGCTGCTGAGGCGGGAGCTGCGGCTGCTCGAGTCCATCTTCCACCGCGGCCACGAGCGCTTCCGCATCGCCCGCGCCTGCCCGGACGAGCTGGGCTGCGAGTTCCTGCCCGGGCCGGCCGGGGGCGGGCCGGTCCGTATCCATGGCAACATCACGGTGAGGGCTCTCCCCCCCTCTCCCTCCCTCCCCCGGGAGAGAAGGAGGCCCGTCGCTCCAAGCGGGCCGGCGGGGCGGGGCTTAGCCAGCGGGAGGGGCGGGGCTTGCGGGGACTCCAGGTCCCATCGTTCCCGGCCGATGGAGCCCGGCCCAGGAACTGAGATTCAGCCCAGCAGGAGGGAAGCCAGGTTGGATGGTGGTTAGGTGGGTCTGGCTTGCCTCCTTTGTCCCTTGGACTACAAGTCCCATTGCTGCAGCCCCCTGTAGTCCTCTCTTGGGCTGCAGCTCCCGTTTGAAAACCGCTCCTCTTCCTCCTCCTCCTCCTCTTGGACTACATCTCCCATCCCAGCATCTCCTCCCCCTCCTCTTGTATTCCATCTCCCATCCTTGCAGTCCCTCTCCTTGGTTGGACTACACATCCTATCCTGCCCTTCCTTTCCCCTGTTGGACGACATTTCCCATGCCTCCTCTCTTGGATTACAACTCCCACCCATGCATCCCCCTTCTTCTCCACCTTTGGACTACCCATCCCAGTATCTCCTCCACTTGCCCTACACCCCCCATCCTGGCCCCCTCTCCTTCCTCTCCTTGACTACAGCCCCCATCCCTCCTCTCCTCTCTTGGACTACAACCCCCATCCCAACACCCCCACTTCCCATCCTGGCCCATGGGCCTCCCGCCAGGCAGCCTCTTCCCCCAGCGCCCCCCTTGGCCTGGGACCTGACCCCCCCCCCGTTCTCCCCCCAGGAGGCCTACCCGGCGGTTCCCCCCATCTGGTCGGTGGAATCGGAGGACCCCAACCTGGCGGCGGTCTTGGAGAGGCTGGCCGACGTAAAGAAGGGCAACACATTGGTGAGACAGCGGGCGGCGGCGGCGGGGCGGTTGGGGAGGGGGCTCAATCGGAAGTTCAACTGGGGGGGGCTGGGCAATCCCCTCCCGGTCCTGATACCCCCCTTTCTGTCCGTCAGCTCCTGCAGCACCTGAAACGCATCATTTCCGACCTCTGCAAACTCTACAACCTTCCTCAGCATCCAGATGTGGAGATGCTGGATCAGCCCTTACCTGCTGAACAGGTAAGACCCCCCTCCCCCCAGTGCTGGGCCCTTGGGGTGGACGGGCGTCCCCTGAGCCTTGGAAAAAAAAACCTCGGGGAGGCTCAGAGTTTGCCTCCGCAACATGCAGGGAGTCCTCGAACTTACAACGGTTCCTTTAGTGACCATTATAACCTGAGTAATCTGGCTGTGCGTACGGACAATCCTCAACTCACAACGTTTAGTGACCCTTCAGAGTTACCACATCACTGAAAAAAAGGGGCTGTTTTTCACACTTACGACTGTCACAGCGTCCCCAGGGTGATCAAAATTCAGGCCCTTGTCATATGATCAAAATTCGGATGCGCGGCCACTGGTTCGTATTTACGACGGTCGCAGTGTCCCCCTGGGGTCACGTAATCCCCTTTGGCGACCTCCTGACCAGCAAAGTCCAGGGGGGAAGCCGGGTTCACTTAACGACGGGGATGACTAATTTAACAACTGCAGTGATTCCCCTTAACAATGGTGGCAAGGAAGGTGCTCAAATGGGGCAAAACTCAACAAGTGTCTCGCTTAGTGACAGAAGTTGTGAGAGTTGTGGGTCGAGGACTGCCTGTGGTTTGCCTGGCGATCTTCCCTTGGGCCCTTGGACCGGGAGGGGGATCCTGGCAGCAGAGCTGGAATCCCCGGATGCGGTTGGGAGACCGACTTGGAGAGATCTGTTTGAAGGGGGATCCCTCGCTTGGGACCAGTCGATCCCATCTTGTTTTCCGTTTGCTCACAGAACACGCAGGAAGACGTGTCCTCGGAAGAGGAAGACGAGGAGATGCCCGAGGTACCCACTACATAGCATATGTATATATGTATGGTTAGGGTTATATATTCTCTTTTGAGAGCAGGCCTCAGAATTTCATTTTTTTATGTGGGCCAAAGTGTTCATAGAAAAAAAGGGATAATAAAGGTTATCTATCATATATCATCTCCCTATCTCTATCAATCTGTCTTCCTATCTTCTCTATCATTCTTTCCTAATTATCTCTCTCTCTCTCTCTCTCTCTCTCTCTCTCTCTCTCTCTCTCTCTCTCTCTCTCTCATTCTATCTATTTCTACCTTTATCCCAAATTATCCACCTATATATCTATCACCTATCTTCCTATCTTCTCATTCTTTCCTAGTTCTTTCTATCATTTCTATCATCTGTCTATCTTCCTCTTTCATTCTTTCCTAGTTATATCTATCTCATTCTATCATTCTATTTCTATCACCTGTCTATCTTCCTATCTTCTCTATCATTCTTTCCTAATTATCTCTATCTCATTCTATTTCTACCTCTGTTCTCTATCATTCTTTCCTAATTATCTGTCTATCTATCTATCTATCTATCTATCTATCTATCTATCTATCTATCTATCATCTATCTATCTATCCATCTCATTCTATCTATATCTATTTCTACCTTCAGTTATCTATGTTCTCTATTATTCCCAATTATCCATCTATCTAATCTATCTATCTTCCTATCTTCTCTCTCACTCTTTGCTAACCTGTCTCTGCCTGCCGCCTGCCTATATTTCTCTACATATCTGATCGTCTTGGGCTCTGGCACTATCAAAAGCTCTGCCCCCTTTGAGCCAGTCTGCCCATCGGAGGGGCTAAATTCCAACCTCGGACTCCCACTTGTCCTCCCCCCCCCCAGGACACGGAAGAGCTGGACCACTACGAAATGAAGGAGGAAGAGCCAGTGGAAGGGAAGAAGGCGGAAGATGACGGGATCGGCAAGGAGAACTTGGCTATTCTTGAGAAAATAAAAAAGAATCAGAGGCAAGATTACTTAAATGTACGTGTCGCCAGGGGGGGAGGGCAGTGGGGGGTAACCTGGGGGGGCTGGGGGAGGGAGGGAGGGAGGGAGTAGTCTTGGGGGAGATCTTCACCACCACCCCCCATGACACCTGGGACTTCAAATCCCATGATTTGGGATGACTCGCCCACTGTGACAGTCACAATTTCCTGTGGTTCGTCTCGTGGTCCACAAGTCTCCCTCCCTACACCTTGAACTGCCCCACTAATGACCTCTGGGAGCCCCCCTCCCCGAATTGGTCCCATTGGGGTGATGAAATGTCCCCCCCCCTTTTTTTTCTCCCCCCCCCAGGGAGCGGTGTCTGGGTCCGTGCAGGCCACCGACCGGCTAATGAAGGAACTCAGGGACATTTACCGATCAGCAAGTTTCAAAGGTGGTGAGTATCGGGGGGGGGGAGAGGAGGGGATGGGGGACCCCTTGCTTTGAACTTTTTGGGGGGAGGGGGCTCCGCAGGGCCCTGTCCCGCCTGCCTCTAAGCTCCCTCCCTTCTTTCTCCCCCTCCCCAGGAAACTATGCAGTGGAACTCATGAACGACAGCCTCTACGACTGGAACGTGAAACTGCTGAAGTGAGTCGCCCTTTCGATAACTTTATTCATTCAATTTATTCATTCAATTTATAATCTCCCCCCCCATCCTTCTCCCCCCTCCCCAAATCGCCCCGGGGAAGCGACTCTGGACGGCTTTCCCGAGCGATAAAACCCTGAAAATGAAGCCAGGTCAAATAAAGTTTCATTTAGTGACCATTCCAAGTTATGATTTTTAGGGGGGTTTTAATTATATTTTAAATTCGACAAATATTTAATATTCTTTTTAATTAATTTTAAATTTGTATTGTTTTGTATGTATTTTAAATAGATTGTCAGCCGCCCTGAGTCCTACGGGAGAAGGGCGGGATATAAATTCAAATATAAATAAATAAATAAATAAATAAAATAAAATGATGGCACGGGGGGGGGGGGGAAAGTGACTTAGGGACCGTTTTTCACACTCGAGACCGTTGCAGCGTTCACCCCACCCCCAGGGGTCACGTGATCAAAATTCCCACGCTTGGCGACTGACGGTCGCAGAGTCCCAGTTCAAGCGATCCCCTTTTGCGAGCTCTCCGTCAATGGGAAAGCTGGGTGCATTTGAATGACCAGAATGGTCGTAAAACGGGGAAAAACTCAACGAAGGCCTCGCTTAGCAACTGAAATGGGCTTCGACCAGCTGGACGTGAGGTTCCATCGCTTCCCATTTGTCTCCTAAGGTTTTTTTGCCGACCGCCTCTCTTTTTTCCCCGCAGGGTGGATGAGGACAGCGCCCTGCATAGCGACCTGCAGATCCTGAAAGAGAAGGAAGGGGCCGATTTCATTCTGCTCAACTTCACCTTTAAGGTCAGGCTGGCCAGCTGGCCGGCCCCCGGGAGGGTCGGGGGGGGCAACAGAACGGGCTTGCTCAGTTCCCCCCTCTCTGCCTTTCTCCCTTCAGGATAACTTCCCCTTCGACCCCCCCTTCGTAAGAGTGGTGTCGCCCGTGCTCTCAGGAGGGTGAGTATCTCCCGTCGGTCGGCGGAGGTTGCTGTAGGCCACTTTGGTCTACAAACCGGGAGACGGGGAGTTCTAGTTCCGCCTTAGCCAGGAAAGCCAACCGGGGGACTTTGGGCCAGTCACCAGGAGACGGGGAGTTCTAGTCCCACCGTAGACAGGAAAGCCAGATGGGGGACTTGATTTGTCTCTTTCCAATCTCTCTCCCGTCAGGTACGTCTTGGGGGGAGGAGCCATCTGCATGGAGCTTCTGACCAAGCAGGTGAGCAGGGAAGGGGGGCAGCCAGGGGGGCTTGGGGTCCCAGAGAGATCGGGGGGGGAGGGAGGGATCCCGCTTCCCTCCGAATGACTCCTTGTCCGTCTCCTCGGCAGGGCTGGAGCAGCGCTTACTCGGTGGAGTCGGTCATCATGCAGATCAGTGCCACCCTGGTGAAGGGCAAAGCCAGAGTCCAGTTTGGGGCAAACAAAGTGAGCGATGGCGGGGGGGCTTTCCTTCCCTCCCTCCCTACTCTCCTTCCTTCCTTCCTTCCTTCCCACCTTCTCAATTTTCTTCCTTTCCTCCTGTTCTTTCTTTCCTTCCTTGCTGCCTTTCCTCCCTCCTTCCATACCCTTCTTCCTTCCTTCCTTCCTCCCTCCCCTTAAGTCACCATCTTGTGGCTTGTTTTGAGAGTATTGGGATTAAGCCTGGACCCACACAGACCCATCCTGGCCTGTGGCAGTTTCCATGCTCTTTGCTTTCGAAAGGACTTAAAAAGTTGGCCTCTACCTTATTTATTTTTTTTACAAAATAACTCAAGCTGTCGAACCAACCTTTCCCCCTCCTCCTCCTCCTCCCCACGACAACCCTGTGAGGTGGACCACATTGCCTATCCCTGCGACTAGCCATCTCATTTCCCAACCCCCCCCCCTTTCCTTCTATTCCCATCAGATTTTTTTGGCCAGGATCTTCTCAAGCCTCTTTTTTTCCCCCTTCTCTTCCCCCCCCCAGAATCAGTACAGCTTGACAAGAGCCCAGCAGTCCTACAAATCCCTAGTCCAGATCCACGAGAAGAACGGTAAGGCTTCATTTTGCGACCCTAACCCGGACGGTCGTATCTCCGGGACCGCCTGCCTCCAGACCCCCCATTGACGTCATCCAGTCCTGGCTACCTTGCTCCATCCTGAAACCGCTTTTGTTTGCCTCCCTTCCTCCCAGGCTGGTACACGCCCCCCAAGGAAGACGGCTAGCCACGGCGCCGACGGAGCAGGACCCCCCACCCCACCCCGGACCCCCCACCCCTCGCTGGACACTGTGCTCGGACTGCCTCTGAGGACATTTTTTCTCTCCCTGGATTCCTTCGCCAGCTCTTTGAAAGAGCATCTGCCACGGCCTCTCGGCTTGGGCTCCTTATAAACATTTGCGGTGAGCAGCCCAGGCCTGGCTCGGACCCTCGCTGGCAGGCGATTGATTCTCTCCCCCTCTCTCTTATTAAATGGGGGGAAGGAAAAAAAAAAGGAAGGAAGAACGAAAGGAAGAAAAAACAACACCCCACACCCACCCACATGCAAACTCCTGATTTTTCCCCCCCCCCCCCTCTTCCGGCTTCTCTGCTGCTGCCGCTGCGGTTCTTTAAACGAAAAAACAAAAAAAATTGCCTCTTCCTTCCGCGCTGGATTTAATTTATTTTCTTATTGTTTTTTTTTTCCACGTACACGGCTCCCCTCTTCCTCTCCCTCTTCTTTCCCTTTCCCCAGCCCTCCTAGCCTTTTATTTCTTTTTCTTTTCTTTTTCTTTCTTTTTTTTTCCTCTCCCCCCTTTCGTTTCGTTTTGGTTACAGTGTATGATGGATGTCTATGGGGGAAAAAAATATGTATCTTTGGAAAAACAATTACATTTGTTAATTTCAAGGGGGTCTGGCGGTACCTCTGTCCGTGAAAAGGGGTGGGGGTGAGGGCGGCAGTGGGGGTGTCTCTCTCTCACACACACACAAACGCCTGAGGGATAAATTTCTTCCTTCTGGGTCTCGCCCTGCCTGTTTCTTGGCTGGCAAAAGAAAGGAGAAAATGGCACAAAATTATAAACTTCAAATTTCAGAAGCGAATCTGCCTTTTGCTACTCTTGCTAAGGGCAAAAAATTTTTTCCCTCATTCTCTGGGTCCTCATTTAACGGCCAAAAAGGGGCCTGGGATTTTGGAGGGTAAGTTGTGGCAGGCGTTAAAAGTGGAAGGCCCAGTGTCCTGATTTTTTTTTAATTTTAGGACGGTTTTCCCCAGGGTCATAAAGCGAGTCACTTAAGTAAACCACGTCCTTGTGAAGCGGATCAGTTCTACCGAACGGGTGTTAAAAGGGGGCAAAAATATTGGTCACAAATTGGAAGGCCGCAACTGGTTGTTAAAAAATGCAGTTGGGATTGCGTGGAGAGCGGTGATAACTTGAAGAATGGGTTTTAAATAACTTTTGGCAGGGTATGTGTGTGTGTCGTAATTTGGAACCATTGTGAAGCAGTGGGTCATTAAGCGAGGAACACTCGTTCAAATTTTCAGAGAGAAAAATTGAAAAGCAAAACCGGGTCAAAAACAATTTCGGGTTGCTTAGATTGCTCTCTTCAAATCCTGGCTGCAAAATCCTGTTTTCCAAAAACAGACACGGGCACTGATCTGTTTCACTTAAGGCAGGCCATCGGCACACCCGTTGTGATCACATTTGTGTGAGCAAAGAATTGGTCTTTTTCAACCCCAGGCTGTTGGAGAATATCTTGAGTCCCCCAAAAGCAGATTAAATACTGGCAAAAGAGAGCCGTATTAATCTGCAGCAGACCCCAAGCAGGAAGGATCTGGGAGAATCTATCCAGATTAAATCCATTTTCTTTCCAGATTTAATCTGTTTTGTGAGCTACAGCGTCTTTCATCATGTGTGTGTGTGTGTGTGTGTTAAATCCATTTTCTTTCCAGATTTAATCCATTTTGTGAGCTACAGCATCTTTCATCATATATGTTTCATCATCATCGTTTGTCTTCAGTGTTATTTTTAACCATATGTGTGTGTATATATATATGTATATATATGGATGGATGGATAGGTAGATAGATTAGAGAGAGAGAGAGAGAGAGAGAGAGAGAGAGAGAGATAGGCACTCAACACAAACACACATATATGATGAAAGACGCTGTAGCTTACGAAAAAATGGATTTGTGTGTGTGTAAAAAGGCTGTGTGGCTCTGGAGAGCTTTTGTTGCCTCTTTCTAAAATTGATTTGATTTGATTTGAGAAGGGAGATGACCCTGTTAGCTTCTTAACTACTTACCTTGCCTCAAAAGCTGATCTTGCCCTCTTGAGGACTAGAAACTTAACCTCCCCCAAATCTAGCCATTTCCAAAGACAGCAAAGTAAGACTTAGCGGATCCTCTCTAGCATTCTGCACTTCAAACCTCTCCCAGATTTGAAGTAGCCTAATCTGTTCAGACTAGTGCAATTTTTACACGAGTCATGATAATCTTAGTAGCAAAGACTCCCTTCCCCCGTACACACCTTTCTATCAATTAAAAATTAATCGGCATCAATTAATTAATCGGTTTCCTAGTAAGAGCCAAGTCTCTCCTAAAAATACCCCCCCCCCCATTTGCCCTGGGAGAAAGACAAAACTTTAAAGCAGCAGCTTTTCTTTTTAATTTAATCTGATCGCGTCTGTCATCTTAGCTGAAAAGAATATTTTTAAAATGGAAGGAAAAGGAACGAGCCAATTTCTGGATCCAGTTAGCATTTTAATAAATTAACTGCAATAACAAACTCAAAGAGAACAAGGTTGCAACAGAACAGCTCAGCCAAAATACAGATTTAATGTATTCCCCCCCCTCTGCCTACACATCACACACAAATCCAGCTGTCCCAGACACAACATGCAGTAAGAAAAAAAGTAACATTTTTTTCTCTCTTCAAGCACAAAGTTATAAGGTCTCAACTAAGAGAATAAACTAAATGTCCCCAAATCTTTCAACCAACTTTTTAACGTCTTTAAAACTAAAACTCGAGTTTTCGGGAACCAACGGCAACTTTTTCCCAGAAGAAAATTGGGTATACTTCAAATTTGCTGGGGGGAGAACTTCCCAAATCCACAACTTCTTAGCCTGTTTTGACTGCAAACTTTAAAATGTGTGGCTGGAAAACAAGTAAAAAAACCAACAACTGTTAAATTGTTTATACATTGTGTGTTACATCACACCACTGTGCGTCTGGTTTGCATCTGGCTGCGTATTGTGCCGATCCAGCTAATATTTTATAAATATAATATTTAACTTGAAGAAAATTCAGCCAAGTGAGGATTGTGTAGTGCAGCTGTGCGTTTTGTGCAATGACACCGTTTTATTTTAAGCTTCTGGTCCTTAAGATTGGGGGGGGGAAATGTTAATTTGATTGCACAACTGTATTATTTGCATAGGGCAATTTTGCAAGTTTTCTTTGCAAGTTGACTGATAGAACAGGCCAAACATTTTACACAGGGCTTAAATGCAAACGCACAAACAATACAATCGGCAAATTGTTGTGTTTGCAAGCCCAAGAAACAGTGGTTTTTGTACTTCTGAATTGCTGCAAAAGTCTGCAAAACTCTTTTAGGATTCAGCTAAACCCCAAAAGGGCTGTTTGTGAAATTGTTCTGGTTTTGATTTTGGATTTTTGGACCCACCAAGGACTCTGAATAAACCACCGATGGATCAACAAACCAGGATTCCAGCAGGAAGCTTATCTGAGATCAAACTTTCTTTGATACTGGCTGGCTGTGACCAGAAATTTTTTTTTTCCCCCAGTGCCGTTCTGGTTTTGCGCCTTTAAAACAAGCCAGGATTTGTAATCTGAAAACTGAAAATTTGCAGTCTTGGTTTACGGGGCTGTAGCAAGTCAGAGTTGGCTTGATTCAGGCCACACAATGAAGCAACTGTTATATTTAAGGGCGCATCTATTTCATTTAATCCAGAAATGACTTCTTGGGTGATCAAAACCAGACTTTAGCTTTCATCTCTGGGTGAAAACAAAAATAAATATATTTTTTCCTCCTGTTTACCTCCCATTGAGAAGGCCCGTTCAATTTTCCTTTCAGGATTTGCCTCCGGATCACTTGCGGGGGAAAAACTCCTGCAAAACCCAGAAAAAGTCCTTTTCAAATTGATTCCCCCAAAAGGAACCTTTTGTCCCATTCCTCAAAGCTGCTAAAAAGCAGAATTAAAGCAGGCAGTGCTGGGTCTGAAGATGGATGGATGTCAGCTCCCAGGATCCCCCATCCAGCCTGCTTTAAGAGGGGTGGGCTTCCACTCCCAGAATCCCCCATCCAGCCTGCTTTAAGAGGGGTGGGCTTCCACTCCCAGAATCCTTACCTTCCTCCAGCACGAAGGGCTGAGCCAAAGGGTGGATTTCCCAGAACTGCTCCTCGTCCAGCTTTCTTAGCGTGGTCAGAGGGAGGCTGGCACAGCGGCCGAAGTCCACAAAGAAGCCCACCGCCAGGTCGCCCAGGGTCTCCAGCACCCAGCACCTGGGGGGGAGGGGGAGAAGAAAGAGAGACAGATTCTTTCCTTTTTCTTTCATTCTTTCCTTCCTTTTTCTGATCCTTTCTTTATTCCTTCCTTCCTCTTCTATTTTTTTCTTCCTTGCTTGCTCCCTTGCCTCCTTTTCCTTCCTTCCTTCTTTCCCTTTTTTCCTCCTTTGTTTCCTTCCTTTCCTTCCTTCCCTTTTTTCCTACCTCCCTCCCTCCCTTCCTTCCCTCCCCCCTCCCTTTTTTCCCTTTTCCTTCCCTCCCTCCGGATGAGCCCAACAGAGCAGGGGGGCCCTCACCTGTTCCAGGCGCTGCCCTCCACCCCGATGTCGCACTGGGCCAGGCATCGGGTCCCCCGCTGCACCTCCTCTTTGGCCAGGAAGGGCAAGCGAGACTCGGCCACAGCCAAGGCCGTGAAGAGCTTCTGCATGGATTCGCAGCATTCCTGCACGGTCAAAAGGCCCCAAAACAAAGGATTTCAGCCTCTCTCAATCAGCAAACTGCTCCCCAGAGGCACTCATGTTTCTAGCTCTCAGGAGGCTTAGAAATGGTAACTCTTCTCCCCAGCGGCACTAATCAAGTTTCTAGCCCTCGTGAGGCTTAGAAACGGTGCCACTGTCACAATCTACAGATCCACCTTCTTTCAACAGCCTGGGAACTCGGGAGTCGCCCCGAATGGCCCGATCCTGCTTGCACAAACCTTGTTGAGGATGATGGCCCAGAAGTACGGCATCAGCGGAAAGGTGTCCATCACCATAAGCCCCACCTCCCCTGCCATGCCAGCCACGGAAGGGAGCCACATGGCATCTCCAAAGCAGTCGTTCAGCATGTGGAAGAGGAACGAACTTCTAAAAGGAAAAAAAAAAGGAGACGTGGAGGCAGAACAAAAGAGGATGGCACCCCTTGAGGTCATCTAGCCATGACTCGGGATCACATAGAAGCTTTTGAAGGAGCCCTGAGTAGCGTCCGAGGAGGAGGGGAAAAAATCATATTTTCTCCTCCCCACATTTGCACGTACCTCATTTCCATGGGGACAGCATAGCAGACCCTCTGATTGGGAAGGGAGATCTGGGTGACACCTTTGGGGAAGTGGGGAAGAAAAAAAAAAGAAGCACATTTGAGCCTTGATGCCAGCAAGGCTAAACATCCAGGTAAATCGCAATCAAGAGAATCAAACTCCCGCCCCTAAGCTTGATTTTCTCGAAACAGCATTCCAAGAAAAACAAATTAAAAAGTGGGTGCGAGGCTACCTTCAACGGAAGGCTTTTACCCGGGATCAAAATAAAAAAATAACAATAGAACAAGGTCACCATCTCGTACCGTTGGTAAATCCACATTCTACGGAGGGGATGACTTCCAAATCCTGAAAAATCAGAAAATGACATTTGCAAGGGATTAAATCCAGAACTAACAACGCTGTTTAAGCACTGAAAGCTTAAATAGAATTAATGTTTGACATAGCAGGCCGGGCCAATCCCTTCAATTATGACTGGTTCAGCAAACTATGATTAAACAAACATCATTCGATGCAAGAACTGGAACAAGCTGAATTAGCATTGGCTCCTCCAGAGCTACAAGCAAGGAACTGAGGCAAGAATTGCAAAGGGACAGATCTGGGCTTATAACGCTTCCCATGTAAGCATGCTGGCTAACCCGTGATATGGGTACTAGACCATGAATCCAGGTTTACCGGCATCTGAGTGCTGTTTTTCGGAACCTCGTGACTTTTCTTGTTTTCCACAAGCGCAACGGACATTGGCATCCCTTTCACGGGGTGTCCGTTCAAAAGCTGGACTGCTAAATTTGCAGCTTCCGGGGACATCAGCTCCAGGAAAGCAAAACTATAATTAAACAAAAATATTAAATTCATTATTTGTGTTTATGATTTTATCCTGGTGATCACCTTATTTTATTTCATTATATATATATATATTAAATATAAAATATAAATATGCAGAAATATAAACAAAGGCCCTTCCCCAACTTTAGAGACGCTCTTTAGAGACCCCGGGCAATACCCATCATCCCCAATGCCCATCGTCCCAAGCTCCTCTAGAGCCAGCAAAGGACATCGGGAAGCCCCGACTAGGTTTCCTTGGACCAGCAACTCGTTCTTTGGCTCCCTGGCCTACCTCGCAGGGCTGTTGTGACAAGGTAGGGAAGGAAGATAAATGAAGACAGGTAGTCCTCGAGTTTACGACCACAATCAGGACCGGAATTTCTGTCGCTAAGCAAGGGGGGGGTGTTCAAAGAGCCACGCCCAATTTTTTTTGCTGTCATTAAGTGAATCATTAAGTCGTTAAGCAAACCATGCAGTCGTTAAGCAAATCTAGCTTCCCCGATTGTTGGAAGCTGGCTGGGGAGGTCGCAAATGGGGATTACGTGACCCCATAAATACACCCCAAGGGCCTGGATTTTGATCCCGTGACCATGGGGATGGTCGTAAGTGCGAGGACGGATCCTACATCCCTTATTGTACCTTTAAATGATTGTCAAATCAGGCCCAAGCCCCTTAACAACCATCTCGCTTAGTGACAGAGATTCTGGTTCCCGTTGTGGACGTAATTCAAATTTGAGAATTTTATTTTTATTTTTTAAAAAGGAGAACCGCCGGCATACCTTTTAAAAGAATTATAGTGTTTCTTCAAAGACCTGATCCCAAAATCCTTGAATAAGAAGGTAATCTCTTCCTAATCAAAGAAATCCAATGAAGAAATAAAGAGAAAAAAACATAGATTAAAAACCTTTTACAAAGGAAGAAGGGAGGGAGGAAGTCCCAGCCCTTTTGAGTTAGGTCTTTGCTCATGCTGGGGGAAAAAAAATTAAAATGAAAGATTCCTTTATCGGAATTATTAGGCCGAAAAGTTTTTAAGCCCATCTGGTTTTTTGTTTTATTTTTTTAAAGGAAGATATTTTTGAGACAGCAAAGGATAAATATCCCAGGGCGATCCATTTTCAATGGGCTGCAACAATTTTAACCCTCGGCTGCTGCGAATCTTTGCTAATGCGGTGAAATTTTTATTTACTTATGTTTATATTTCGGGTTCCTAAATAATCCCACGTCTCTCTCAAAGAGGGACTGTGGGTGGGGATTACATTATTTGAGAATTTCGACTAAAAACTATAAAGATTTGCCCCCCCCCCCGTCACTGTGACATGAAAGTATTTTGTATAAAGACTTAATTCATACATTTAAATGATTGAATTATTATCATTTAATCATTAATCATTTACTTTCAAAAGCAATCGCAGGCAAGTCTCCCAGGCTTAGCAACAAAGATTCTGATCTCTCTTGTGGTCTAGGACTAACTGTATGCCATGTATGTGTTGCATCTATTTTGTGTGTGTGTGTGTGTGTGTGGTGTCTGTGTGTAAAATAAAGCAACGTTGTACACCCACCTCGCTGATATCCAGGGGCAGATTTCCAACAAAGACTTCCCTTTTTTTGAAATGCCCTGAAAAAGCAAATTTGGATTAGGATCCAGTCCCGTAAAATATGAAAAAAAAGACAGACGGTTCCTTCCTTCCTTCCTTCCTTCCTTTCCCTCCCTCCCTCCTTCCCTTTTTCCTTTCCTTTCTTCCCTTTTTTCACACCAATTTCCTTCCTTCCTTCCTTCCATATTTCTTCCTTCCTTCCTTCCTTCCATATTTCTTCCTTCTCCCGCTTTTCACACAGCTTTTCTCCCTGCCCATTGTTCGGCGGGCAAAAATCCCTAATTCACACATTCGATATGTCTAAACTCACCCGGTTGTTTCAAGGGATTCGCCTTAACCAGCTTCTTAGAGCCTGGAGAACACTGTTTCTTGTAGCCATGTTTCGACCTATAAACCATGTTAGAACAATCTAGGATTAGTAATGGCCACCTTTTGCAATCTTGCTTTCCGTTTGCACGCCCTCAGTCTGGCTAACTGGAGAAAGCCAACCTCAAAACCTGGTTAATCGTGTCATGCTCTGGGAGACCCCGCCTTCTTTCAGGCTCCACCCATGACCTGCTTAGCCCCACCCACCAAGGCATCCCAGCCCTGAATAGAGAAAAAAATACTATAATTTTCCAAACACAATTCTTGCTTTGCGGCTCACAAGCTAGGAATCTGGGAAAAACAGAAAGAAACTGGGGTGATATAAAAATAATAATAATAAACAGAGTGTGTTAAGTATAATGTCACTTTTGCCAGGCTTTGTTGTTAATTAAAACTCACAAGTGTGCAAGGAAAGTGTGCAAAATGGATTAACTTGCAACTGAATTCTTAGCCAGGATTATTTTCTAAAATATTTTCCTTCCTACTCACATCTCGCTCCGGTGACTTTGCAAGATTCAGCACGACACCCTAAAATAATAATCGTATTAACATTATTAATAATAATGTTTAAAAAACAATTCACATCCTGCGACAATGATCTTAAATATTCTTAAATAAAAACATTTGCCTATCCTAGATCCTTTGGAAGGATTCAAGAAGTGGATAAAACTGATCTCTGATTGACGGTGCCACCCACTACAATAATTACCGTATTATCATTAATCATAACTAAATAATATTAGTTATTATTAAACATCACAGCATTCTCTGCCGTTCCGTTTACGGACGGCAACCTGAAACAAAAAAGCAAAATATTTTAAAAATATTTACACTACAATCTTAAGATACAGATAATTCTATTGCAAAACACCGCAATAGAAATATCTGCAAATACAAAATATTTTTAAATCTAAAGATACAAATCACTACAATCTAAGAGACGAATCTAAGATACAAAACACAACTTAAATATTTACATTTAGGTATTTATTTATATACCATATGGCAAATCATACCTGGACTAACCATATCTATTAGATAGTTTAGTTATTAACGGAATAACAGAGTTGAAAGGGACCTTAGCGGTCATCTAGTCCAACCCCCCTACTCAAGTGTTCAAAACTCTTAATAGTTAATACTACTTAATATACACCCAGGTGGAAATAAATATGAGAAACGTCAAATCGAAGCAACTAAGATTACCACGATTCTCTCTTAAGAAATTTTAGCAGAAGAATGGGAATGGTAGTCCTGTGCCTTAGGGGAAGTGTAGTTAGGAAAGTGTAGCTTCAGCAGAGAATTTAACCACGCTGCAGCACAAAATTTGCATTAGGACTGTCCCTATCCCTGCTTTTCTTCCCCCAAAACGCCGTTGCTATTATTAATATTATTACTACTTTGCGTTTTGTTTTGTTTTTTAGGGGGCAAAAAGTTACTTTTGGGGCATTGGAAAAAGCAGAGACGAAGGCACCGCGGTTGCAAAGGAGCGTCTACAAAGGAGAAAGGGACTCACTCCGGATTACTCACCTAGGGAGGAACAGAGGCACCAATTCGGAGCAAACAAGCGCGAAACTCCCACCAGGATCCGAGAGCAGCGCGGCTTTTACGCCGACGCGTATCCCGCCCCGCCTTTCCTTTGGCTATTAATGGGGAGGCGGGAGAGCCTTTACTTCGGAGTGGATCCGGATTAGACGCATGGGTGCAGCCTTTCTGCATTAGACAGGTAAAAATGGGGATTATACCCGCCTCTATAGATGTGTGCATTTTTTTTTGCAATTTTTTTTAATATTTAATGCATCTTGATAGATGTTATTATGGCTTCGGCCACCAGGGGGCTGCGGGGGGAAAAGGCCACGCTTTGCCGCCCCTGGCGGCCGCCAGAAGCCTTGCAGCCGAAATCCGCTTTCAATGCAATCCCTGAAAAATTAGAGAATAAAAACCCACTGACTCATTTTTAGCGTCCCCCTAAATGGAGGGTGGGCTTTCCAGGATCCCCCCTTCCTAGCCCTTTTGAATTTCCCTCCTGCCCCCCCTTTCTGCCATATAACCTCTATTGACCCCCTCCCCATTCTAGATAAAGGTTGCATTTATTTAGAAAAGGGGGGATCAGATACCATTGAAATATTTGGATCTAATTTCATCCTTGGGGGAGAAAAAAACCCAAAACAATTTAGATGAAGTTTTTTATTCGTTTGGAAAATTTTCTATTCCGTTTCAGCTGCTTTGGTCCATTGCAGCCCCTGCGCGCCCCCGCCCCATCCAAGCCGCCCCCTCCGGATCTGGGCGGGGGGATGCCGCCCCCTCCCTCCCTCCCTCCCGGGGCCAGACAGAGAAACGCTCGCAAAGCTGCGCGAAGCCAAGCCAACTCTTGCACCGGATTGCGCGTGGGGGGGAAGGGCAAGTAAATTGCAAGTGGAGGGGGGGTCTTCTCCCATCCCTGGGCTGGGGGAAGAGGCTGGGTGGGCGGGGGGGCGTCTGGGAGAGGCACCCCCGAATTTAGAGCGCTCCTCCCGTCTGCTCTGCTTTGGGGAGCCCCCCGGGGTGTGGGAGGCATGGCCTGATCGCCCCCCCTTTTTTGCCCTTTCCACCCGGGCAAAAAAAGCCCCCCCTGGATCCAAATCAGGGACTCACCCACCAAAACTGGCTTGGAAAAACGGGGTGCGATTTATAGCTAGCCCCTTACTCTGTACCCCGAGATCCTTCCATCTCTCTCTTTTTTCGGTTCCCCCTATTTTTAAATGATAAACTCCCCCCCCGATTTTGTTTTTTCTATTGCAGTTTCTTCCAGTTCCCCAAAACTCCGGGAAAACCCAGCAAATTATTTTCTATTTGCTGAAATTTGGGGTACGCCTTGGAGTAGGGAAATGAAGCGCTGGAAAAGAGGTTTTCCTTGTGCCTGATGCCGTTGGGGGGGTCTTGTCGCTGCCTCGGGTAGTCCATCCAAGGCGGGCAGCCCTGGGGGGGGCGGAAAGACCCCATTATTGAGGGGGGGAGCGGTCTCCTTGGAGTCCCGATTCCAGGGCATGCCTTGCGTATCTTCACCTTCTCTCTGTGCAACCGGGGTGCAGCTTCCCAGCTGGGGTGCTGGAGGGTAGCCTGCTGGGGACCCCCTTCCACAGGCACCCCTCAAAAGCTGGCAAAGATTTTGGGGGGGGGTCTTTCTGCTGGACTTCAGACTTCTGGAACTTCGCTCGGGCACCATGGCGGCCAAGTGGTTCAAAGAATTCCCTGCCAACCTCAAAACCGTCTCGGAGCGCCCCAAACCCAGCGCCGGGCATCATCTGAACAAGCCGGGCAGCGCCTCCCGAAAAAGTTTAGGGTCGCCCGAGGCCGGCCTGGCATCTCTGCCCGGGAAGAACCGGAAGAACTCGGCCACCGAGCTGGGTGGCACCAAAACTCAGCTGGCACCGGGCAAAGATGGCACCGGTAGCCGTTTATCCCGGGACAATCTGCAGGGCCTTTTGCAAGCCGCTGCGGGAAAAATGCGCAAGAATTCGCGGGTGGATGGGGCCCTTCCGGAGGACCCCGGCTGGGCCCCCCCCAAAGGGAACTCCAGTTGTGGGGGCTACATCAACCGTCTGATCAAAGTCAACGCCCAGGAGAAAAATGCCAAAAACTTTTCAGGATCTGCTCCCAATCCCAAAACGGTCCTGCCAGCCGAAGCGGAGAAGCCCAAGCAAGAAACGGTCAAGGTGCCATTATGGTTTGCAACTTTCTGGGGTCTTGAGGGATTAAAGGGGGGGGTGTAGGTTTGAGGTTTGGGGGTGTTGCATTTGCCATCTGTTTGGAGGTTTTTTTTAAAAAAAATGGGGATTCTGTTTGAAAGGAAGGTCAGCAAATTGTAGAAAATGCACTTTTTCAAATAGTTTTGCCCTCAGTTAATTTGGGCGGGGGTTAAAAACTGTGTTTGTCTTCTGTTTGGGGAAAAAAATGGAGCAAATCTTACAAAATCCACGTTTAAAAAAAGATCCAGCAGGATTTATGTTACCTGGAGCTTCTTTCCAATTTTCTTCAGCCAAATTGCAGAAAAACAGAAAGGCAGGCAATCAGGCAGATGAAAAGAAAAGAAAAGAAAAGAAAGAAAGGGAGGGAAAGAAGGAAGGAAGGAAAGAAGAAAGGGAGAAAGAAAAGAAAGAAAGAAAGAAAAGGGAGGGAGGGAGGAAGGAAGAGAAAAAGAAAGAAAGAAAGAAAGAAAGAAAGAAAGAAAAAGAAGAAAGAAGAAAAGGGAGGAAGGAAGGAGGGAGGGAAGAAGAGAAAAAAGAAAGAAAAGGAAGGAGGGAGGAAGACAAAGAAAAAGGAAGGAAGAAGAAAGAAAGAAAAAAAGAAAGAGAAAAAGAAAGAAAGAAAAAAGAAAGAAAGAAAAAAGAAAGAAAGAAAAAAGAAAGAAAGAAATTAGAAATATAATATACTGTATTTTAAACAGGACTCTCAGTTTTTGATATTATAAATGTTTTGCACGCAGAAAGAATCTGGACTGCAAAGGATCTGAGAAGGATCGGGATTCAAAAATTTATATTTTAAAGATTTGGGGCAGTTTAAATCCAGTAGATCCTCAAACAGAAACTCCTTACAAGTCTTCATTAATGTTATATCCTATTCAACAAAAAAATATTTTTTTTTTTACTCTTTTGTAAAATCGTAAAAAGTCGCCCCGAACGGAGAGACGGGCGCCACAGAATTTGAATAAATCAGCTATAAATTGACGATTGTATTTTTTTCGTCATTTTGCCACTTTGGAAGGTGATCGTTCTGGAAGATTACGCCGACCCCTACGACGCAAAACAGACCAAGGGACAGCGAGACGCTGAGCGGTTGGAAGAGAATGACGGTTACATGGAGCCTTACGACGCGCAACAGATGATAACCGGTAATCGTGGTTTGTTTCGGAAGAAGCACAGGTTGCTTTCGAACTCTGCCTCTTAACAATCCTCAACTTACGACCAGAGTTGAGCCCAGCAACTGTCAAGACAGTTGTTAAATGAGTTTTGCCCTACTTTACGACTTCCCTTGCCACAACTGTTAAGCGAATCGCTACATTTGGACTGTAGCGGGTTGGACTAGAGGACCTCCAAAGGTCCCTTCCAGCTCTCTTATTCTGTATTCTGAGCAGCGGGTTGGACTAGATGACCTCCGAGATCCCTTCCGTTATTGTGTATTCTGAGCAGGGGGGTGGACTAGAAGACCTCCAAGGTCCCTCCCAACTCTGCTATTCTGAGCAGGGGGCTGGACTAGAAGACCTCCAAGGTCCCTTCCATGTCTGCTATTCTGTTATTCTGAGCAGGGGGCTGGACTAGAAGACCTCCAAGGTCCCTTCCATGTCTGCTATTCTGTTATTCTGAGCAGGGGGTTGGACTAGAAGGTCCCTTCCAACGATGTAATTCTGTTATTCTGTAATTTTCCAGATGATCAGAAGTCTAATTCAGTTTGCAACCCGCTGTGGCATTGAAAAGCTGCAACAATACACATTTAATACAAAACTGGACCGGTCAGCCACAAGCTGGATATTTGCCTGGTGCAAGCAGACTCCCCACCCACGGCTGATAGAGCCGTGCAGAAAAACAGGAAATTTTAGCACCGGAAGTTGGAATAAAACAGGGCATTGTCGGCTGGGGAGACGGATGAGGCGAGAGCAGAATGGGGGAATTGGTCTCCAGTCCTAAAATTCCCAGCAAGTTGTGCTTCTGCTAAGCCTGGGGTCTCTGAGCCCTCCTGGCTAGCGGGCCCGGTTGTATGTCATGGGGGTTCCTGAACCTGTGCAGAGTGTTCTCGGTTTGTTTTGTTTTTGCAAAGGGCCCTCCTTTTTTCTTTTTCTTCTTTTTAACGAAAGAAATGTCTGCAGTGTAATTGGGAAATAAGTCCCAGAAATAAAGAAGGGGCCAGCTGGGAGGGCTTTGATTAGAGGAAAGGTGTGATCTTAGGATTAATGAGGACTAGAAACGTTTTGTGGGTTGTTTTTTTGGTGGGGGGGTTTGCATGGAACAGAAAAAAATGAACTTATTGTTTATGGTTTTGGTGATTTGAAAAACAAATGGAATTAGAGGAAAAAAGAAAGCCATATAAAACAAGAGGTTGATTTATACCTTTGCTTACAACTGCTGTAAAAATGTCAGAATTGCTTTTTCCTTCCTTCCTTCCTCCTTCCTTCCTTCCTTCCTCCCTCCTTCCCTCCCTTCATACCCTTCTCTTTCCTTTCTTCCTTCCTCCCTCCCATGCCTGTTTATATATCATCTATCTATCCCCTTTCTGTTTCCTTCCTTCCTTTTTCGCTTTCTCGCTTTCTTTCTTTCTTGCTTTGTCTTTCCTTCCTACCCGCATTTTAACGTTTTCATCAACTTATATTAAATGAAAAAAAACACAAAAAAACACCTAGTCTAACACCCAATACACAAGCCCTTATTTCCACACCTGTGTTCACCCTCTCCCTCTGCCCTTCCTTGCAGAAATCCGCCGGCGGGGGTCCAAAGACCCCTTTGGGGGGAAAGCCGTCCTGCTTCTGGACGAACCAGCAGCCAAGGGAGACCCGGGGGTCAAAGCCCCCGCCTCAAAACCTCTGCAGCTTTACGACACCCCTTACGAGCCGGCTGAGACGGGGTCCAAGTTCGAGATGCGCCCCCCTCCGAGTGACGAACGGCCGCCGGCCGAGTACGAGCAGCCCTGGGAATGGAAGAAAGAGCAGATTGTTAAAGTTTTCTCAGGTAGGAAAAGCGGATGGCAAAAATTGGACGTGGAGGATCGTTTTTCATAAAGATAGATGATAGATAGATAGATAGATAGATAGATAGATAGATAGATAGATAGATAGATAGATAGATAGATCGAGCGGAGGTTTCCCTACAGGTGATCAGTTTAAAAAAAAAGAGAGAGAGAAAAGTAAGAAAGATAAATTGGGAAGGACGCCCCCTTGGGCAATTCCTTTCAATCCTGGTTTAGATGCAATTTAAATTTGCAAAAAAAAAATTGCCCTCGTTTCAGTGGTCAGTTTTGCATTCGGCGACGTGCTTGGGACCTCAGCCCCCTTAGCGTTTCTGCATATATCAGTGTCCAACTTGAGAATCTCGGCTTGTTCATATCCTGAGTCCACAACCCATCTCGGCTTGTTTGCAGAGGAGGCTGGCCAACTTTGGCCAGGTGCGAAGATATTTGGGGGAGCCCTCTTCTCACAACCTTTGCTTGTCCTTCCTCTCTCCTTCCAGTGCAGTTTGAGGGTCCGGAGAAAGTGCTGACCGCCGCTGAGACGGTTGTCTCGCCACCCCAGCACCAACCTTGCCCGCAAAACTGGCCATCAATGATGGTTAAGTCTTCCCCGGGGATCGAACTGGGCCTGGATGGAGAGCGGGTGGATTCTGCCCTCGTCTTGGAGAAACAACCGTAAGCCTCCTGGGATCTGGCCTGGCATCCATCCCAAATCTTATCTGTTTTGTGCCCTCCAGGTTCCTTCTGTATCCGTCTCGCTCTGGAGACAAGCTGCTAGTCCTCATGAGGCTGGAATTCTCTTTTAAGAAGGGAAGAGGTTTGGCTGGGCCTCCAAGGAAGGAGTAAACTGGGTTTGGAGGTGTCCAGTTCAAAGGGGCCTCCTTGATTTCTAAGAAGGACAAACTCTACCTCAGGGATAGACATGGAATAGTTTGATTTGGTGACCTTAGAAATACAGGAAGTCCTCAAGTTATGACGGTGATTGAGGGGTGGGCTTCCACTCCCAGAATCCCCCAGCCAGTAGAGGATTCTTTGCTGAGGATTCTGGGAACAGTCTGGGAAACCCTGTTTTTGCCCCTCCTTCCTTCCTCGCAGGTGGTTTCATGGCTCCATCACCCGGGCCGAGGCGGAGAGCCGGCTGCAGCCGTGTCCGGAGGCCGGCTTCCTGGTCCGCACCAGCGAGGTGGGCCCCACCAAATACTCCATCGGCCTCAAGTGAGTGTCCGAAAGTTTCCTGGGCTCAGGAGCCGGGTCCAGACCTGCTGCCAAACTGTGCTACAAGGTAGTCCTCGACTTACAACGGTCCATTTAGTGACCACAGGGCAATGAAAAAGGTGACTTAGGACCGTTTGTCACACTTCGCCGCCGTTGCAGCCTCCTCCGGGGGTCGCCCGATCCAAACTCAGAGGCTCGGCAACTGACATGTACTTGTGACAGTTGTGGCGTCCGCCCGGGGGTCCCGCGGTCCCCCTTTTGCGACTGTCTGACCAGCGAAGCCAACGGGCAAAGCCAGATTCCCTTAGCAACAACTTCAATCTGTCCGAACAGAGCTGGAAGGGAGGTCATCTAGTCCAACCCGTTGCCACCCTACTGTCCAAACGTAGTGATTCACTTAAGAACGGCAAGAGGGCTCGTAAAGCGGGGCAAAAACTCATTGAACCACTGTGTCGCTTAAGCAACAGAAGCTCTGGGGTTTGGTAACATCTGCACGGATCCCGGCCGGAAAGATCGTAAAACGAAGCAAAATTCACGGAACGATCGTTTCGCTTAGCAATGGAGGTCTGGGTGGCCGTCGTAAGTCGAGGACTGCCTGCTTGCCTGCCTGCCTGCCTTGGTGCTTCCAAACCCTTTACTTCTTTCTTTCTTTCTTTCTTTCGTTTTTTTGCAATCCGGACTTTTTCTCCCTGCGCCTGGCTCCAAAGCCCGGGGCTGGGCGCGACCAAACTTCCTTCCTCAGGATGCTGAATTTTGAAACAAACCAAGGAAAGAAAGAGAGAGGACCTTTGTGTGTTTGTCTGTGTGTGTGTGTGTGTGTGTGTGTGTGTGTGTGTGTGTGTGTGTGTGTGTGTGTGTGAGAGAGAGAGAGAGAGAGAGAGAGAGAGAGAGAGAGAGAGAGAGAATCGGGAGCTTGGCTAGTGGAAAAGAAGGCTGGGGAGGGGATGGTGTTTCCATAGAAAAACAGTTTGCCTCCTTCTGATTCTCCCCTTCCCTCTTTGGATAGGCAGGGATTGAAATGGGATTTAAAAATATCCCGTGGAAATTGCGCTTTAAGAAGAAAGGATTTAAGGTGCCCCCCCCTTCCAGCTTTCCTTGACCCCACATTTAACATAACCCGCCATGTGCTGCCAGGTGTGTGGTGTGTGTGTGTGGGGGGGCTGTTTGTCCAACTAAGAATAGAGGCCGAAATGGACCCCCGTTGGGCCAGGATTCAAAATCGCCAAATCAAGGCCAAAAGCCTGTTTTAATTGTCTCTTAAGATCCCCAAAACTGGAGAATTGGAAGGAATTTTTCTGCTGTTTGTTGAGCAGGATTGGGTGGTAAATAAGGCAAGGTTGGAGAAGGGAGAGGATGCGGAATTCTTAAATGGGGGTGTACCCCCCCTTCAAAAAGCACCCCCAAAATATAATCTGAACGGGTTGATAGCAGAAAAACAGAATAACCGCGGAATAATGGAACAATGGAATAACAGAATTACAGAATAACAGTTGGAAGGGACCTCGGAGGTCATCTAGTCCAGCCCCCTGCTCAGGCAGCAAACCCTGTAAAATTCAATCTCTTCTTAAAAACCTCCAGGATTTTAATAAGGAAACCAACCCCCCCCCAGGGTCATTTTAACTAATATTCTTCTATTTTGGGCTCTCTTTCCACCCCACCCCCACCCCCCAGGACAAGCCAAGGTTACGTCCACATCATCGTGGCTCAAACGAAGGATCACAAATACACTCTGGACCAAGCGGGCGGCCTCTTTGACACCGTCCCCGAAGTGGTGGGCTACTATTCCACCGCAAAGCTGCCCTTCAAAGGGGCAGAACACATGACTCTACGTTTTCCCGTCTCTGTTCCAAGCAAGATTCCCTAAAGATCCCAATTTAGACCAGTTTGGGAACGGCTGAGCCGACTGGGGAAGTCGGCTGGAGACTGCACAGCGACCTCGCCAAAGTTCGCTTCGCCCGGAGACGTGAATCCATCTTTTCTCTTCATTTTCCAGCAAATTTATTCCCGCGCGTCCCGATGTGATTCAATAGGACTTTTCCCATCCTGAAATATTACTAAATTTGGGGGTGGGGGACACAGAGCAGGGGAGGAAGCCCCCCCTTTTGCTGGACACTGAATTGACGGGAGTGGATGGGGCTGAAACACAGCCTTGATTGGCAGCTGCTCAAAACCATCACCACTGGTTAACGTGGAGCCAGGTTCTCCGAGTTTTCTTGAACGAGATATTGTTGAGAAGACGGCCAACGGAGTTTGGAGAATCCCAGCAACTCCCAGTCCCCACCATTAAAGGCCAAGCGCATTCGCGTAGGCTAAACTGGGAGGTTTCTATTTTATTTTTATTTTTATTTTGTTTTTCTGAAACGGTTTTTGTAGGATCCGGTGGGGAGGCTGGTCTCTTCGCTGCTTCTCCAAAAATCAAATAAAAACGCTCAAAAGAGTTCTGGTTTCTTTTTATAGTACGGGGAGTCCCCGACTTATGACAGTTCGCTTAGTGGCCGTTGGGAGTTACAACGGCACTGAAAAAAGGGACTTAGGACCTTTTTTCGCGGCATCCCCCCCCGGTCACGTGATTGACATCCGGACGGTTGACAACTGACTCACATTTACGACGGCTGCAGTGTCTTATGACCGGGGTCATGTGATCAAAATTTGTGCCGCCATGTACTTGTGATGATTGGGGCATCTTGAGATCATGTAATCGCCATTTGCGGCCTTCCCAGCCAGTTTCTGACACACAAAATAAATGGGGGAAGGCGGATTTGCTTAAGGACCCTGTGACTCCCTTAACAATTGTGCAAAACCAGAGTTAATCTCTGCCCCCTGTCCGAGCAACAATTCACTATTTTGCCTGGAGATCTCCTGGTGGTCTCTCATCCCCGTTAAAAGCAGAGTCGCTTGAGGTTTCAAGAAGGGCGAGACGCAGAAAACAGAAATATAGATTTCCAGCCTCACCTCATCTTGATTTCAGGGACCTCCTGAGAGGGACTCGGGTTTCCCCCCCTCCCCTTCAAGAAACACTGATGTTAACCAATCTGCCACAACCCATCCTGGTTGCATCTTGGTTTAAAAATGCAAGAAAAAAAAAATCACCCTCTTTCAAGCAAGTCTTTTTTCCCCTTTTTTGAGATTAGTTTGCTGGCTGCTTCGTGGCTTTGGCTAAAAGTAGATTTGAGTCAATCTGAAAAACGGATCAGCCCCTTCCTCTGGGCACCCACCCACCCACCCAGTTTCCTCTCCTGGCAGGGATAAATCCCAGCATTGTTTTGACTTCCTTCCCGCCCAAACTAAAAAAAACAACATTGCTTTTTTGACAAAGCTGGTGGCGCCAATGGTGAGCACCGATGGACTCGTCTGGCGTTCTGTAGACTGAACCTGCTGGGGGGGGGGGTCGGCTACAAACTCTGAATCACAGTTTAATTGCTGCAACGATATATGAGAAAGAAAGAAAGAAAGAAAGAAAAAAGATGGAAGGAAGGAAGAGAAAGAAAAGAAGGAAGGGAGAGAGGAAGAAAGAAAAAAAAGAAAGAAAAATAATTAAAAGGGAGGGAGGGAGGAATAACGAGGGGAGAAGAGAATAAGAAAATAAAAAAAAAGATCTTCAAATGCAAAGTAAAATTATTCCATCCAGCCAATCTTAAGAGACTAAATTTCTAAATCTCCACAATTGCCCATTGAAAAGATAAATATTTGCAAACTAGGTTCTCAGCCCAAAACAGGAATAATATTGGAGATTATAAAAACAGAACATTCTGCTATGAGTTTATCTTTTTTTTCCCAAAAACCAGAATTGAGCAGAAAAAGAAAAGCTAATAAAAAGGAGGCAAACGTCTTTAAAAATAGAGCAATGCTGCCCTCCTGTGGCCCAATTGTAGAACTACACCTAGCATGAAAATCCTATTGGATCTTTAAACGTGCTGCATAAATGTCATTTTGTGATTACAACAAAGGTTGGTATATTTCCCCCCCCCTTAAGTATTTTGTCTTTACACCCCTGTCCCGATGGTTTGCCAAGAGGAACAGCAGTTTTATAAACTAAAAATGAATCAGTTTTCTTCTTAAAATTCAGTGAAATGTGGGAATTTGTAAGAAATTCCTCGCTTGTCTTTTTTTTTTTAAATAAATCTTTACACAAACATCACACTTGGAAACTGTCAGGATCGATGGAATCGGTGGCTTCACATAGGCCTTAGAAACCTCCCCACAATTAAAAATATAAAATTGTGCAACCGTTCTTTCTTCTTCTTTTCTCTTTCATTTTTAATTTTTTTAATTTTCCCCCTCTCGTTTGCATTTTCTGCGTTTTGAGTATGACACCGCCAACTGTCCAGCTCTGATGTTTTGTGTGTGTTTGTGTGTGCGTGTGTCTTTGTCAGAAATGTCACAAACGAGAACTTGGGGGAAGTTAAGAATTGCCACACGGATGGGGGAAGTTGACAGGCGTCTGGGCCCCTGCAGAGAGGAAGGAACGAGTGAACGAACTCTGAAACCCGGTTTAGGCAGGAAACCCTCTGCAAAACAAACCACCACGGGGGTCACTACTGTCACTTAGACGAGGAAGAAGCCCCAAAAACTGTAAAACTCACAAAATGTTACTCGTTTGGGGATCTTTGAGGCCATCTAGACGGACCCTTTCCCTTGCTGAAGGGCTGAACAGGATTTGGGGCGACCTTCAGCTGCCCAATTCAAAAGCAACTTACTTGCTGCCATTTTGCTCATGGGGTGGGGTGGGGTAACGAAGGGATTCCCCTTTTTTCCCCCTCTGAAATGTAGATTTTTCTGCTCGATTGGAAACTGATTGAAAAGATTCACACGGTACACTCCATTCCAGGTTTCGCTTCCCCCCCCAAAAAAATAAACTCTCAGCTAAAACCAAAATCTGCTACCATCTTGGCAGTGGTTTTCCGGTGGCGAGAGATTAATTAACCTTAGGCTCAAAATCTTCTGATGCAACCCCAGAGTTATGACTGAGAGCACCCCCAGAAAAAGAGAGATTTTTTAAAAAAAATTAAACCAGGTTATTTTTGTCCCAAATGGGCTCAAAACTGCTGTAAGTTCTTTTGAAAAAGCAGACAAAATCTGGGGGACCTCGCCATCTAGGGAGAGAGAATTCTAGAGATTTGATTTTGAATTATTTGACGGTCTTGAGCAAAAAAAAAAAAAGATCATTTTTATCTAACAACGTTGAATGCTAAACTCGACTTTTTTTTTACCCAGAGAGAAATAAGAGAAAACTAAGGAATCCCACTCTCTCTTGAAGTGGGAAGGGTGTAACTTATTGCAACTACGGCTAAAAAGAGAAATTTTTGCCACGGCTTTAATTTCCCAGAAGTCCCTGGCATATAAAAGTTTTCAGCGTTGTGAGATTGTTCTTCTTTTTCCTTTATAGCTTTTGCAAGCTGGATTCGGCAAGCTGTGCGGATTGTCGGTATATGACACAGCTTGGAAGACAGGATTAGGATTTGAAAATCACATCAAGTCAAATCAAAACAAATCAAATAATCTGGAACCTAGAAGTAAGGAGAAATTCTATTCTATTCTATTATATTCTTATTCTATTCTATTCTATTCTATTCCATTCCATTCCATTCCATTCCATTCTATTCTATTCTATTCTATTCCTAATATTCTATTCTATATTTTAAATATATTCCACTCCATATTCTATTCTGTTCTGTTCTATTCTATTCCTAATATTCTATTCTATAGTATTAAATATATTCCACTCCAAATTCTATTCTATTCTATTCTATTCTATTCTATTCTATTCTATTCTATTCTATTCTATTTTCTAATTCTCTATTCTATTCTATTCTATTCTATTCTATTCTATTCTATTCTATTCTATTCTACTCCTATTATTATTCTATTCTATTCTATTCTATTCTATTCTATTCTATTCTATTCTATTCTATTAAGTGACAACTTGGCTGGTGATTTTGGAAAAGGGAGGGAGAGGAATGGAGGAAGAATCCCCCCAATATTCAAAATTGCACCCCCACCTCTGAAACAGGACTTGCCAATCAGACACAATTTGAGAGTGTCAATCAATGCTCAGTCTCTTTTAACATTTCAACTAGATGTTCCCTCCCCTTAAACGTGGGGGTTTTAAGACACACACACACACCAAAAAAACAGGTAAGGAAGATTTCTTTCTCCCCAACATCCGGATGAGATTACTCATCCCTCCTTCCCAGGTCAGTCCCCACTTCCGTTCTGGCTTCTCATCACCCCAAATTTAAATAAACAAAACATGGGGGGAAAACAGATGGTGGATTTCGCCACCGTTTCCCCTGTCAACCTGTCGGAGTTTCTCATCCCGTTTGCACGATTGCTCAACTGTTTTTCTTCCTCTCGAGATCCCTTTCTCACGCTTCGGGGCAGCCCCCACCCACCCGCCACCACTTCCCCCCCAGTCCTAAAACCCAGAAGACAACATCTCCTGCCACGTGGCCTGGGTACCACGGCACATGCCTTTTGATTCAACGGTAATCCTGTCCACGTTGGATCCCAAATCAAGACTGAATCTTGCTTGTCTCCTGCTCAAAACTGCCAATAAATAACTTGGCTTGTGTTTGTCCCCCACAGGAGCCCCCCAAAGGGTTTCAATCCAGCAATTGGGGCACTACCGTTTGCCCCCCTTTAAAGGCATCGGATCAACCATGGTTACTAGGAGGCAGGTAGATCCCAACTTATAAACCGTTTGTTTAGTTACAACAGCATTGAAAAAAGTGGACTGTTTTTCCACAATGAAGACCGTTGCAGCAGGTCACGTGATCAGAATTCAGATGCTCGGCAACTGGCATGTACTTTTGACAGTTGCCTATGCCAGGATCCCCTTTTGTCAATTGGAGAAGCCAGATTTACTTAAGAACCGTGTCGGGTCAAACTTTGGGCAACTTTTCAGGGCCCCAAAGGATGTGTGGTTCAGTCTACGGGAACAATTAGCGTGCCCTGGGTTGCAAAAGCCCATGATTTAGTCACTGTCTTGGGTGGCGGGAACAGGGAAGCAACGTCAAAACAACACTGGGCCAGTCTCGAGTTTACACCCCTTGGAGGGAGGTGACGCTGGTTTCCAGCTTTGATGTGAAAACCAAGTTTTAGAGTAGAGTTTCTGGACCTCAGTCATTTTAAGAGGGGTGGACTTCAACTCCCAGGATTCATGCATGCTGGCTGGGGAATTCTGGGAGTTGAAGTCTGCCCCTCTTAAAAGTTGATAAGGTTAAGAAACACGGCTTTAGACCTTTTGTCCCCAAAAGCACTCAAGTCAAAAGTAGCACCTGATGCATTTATTCACTTGGGGGAAAAATGCAGCTGAAAGTTTTTTAA